AGCACCTTTAACCACTGGACCAAACCACCTCTTTCTAGAGTTTCAACATCTTTTTTATATTGTAGCAACCAAAACTGGATGTAATATTCCAGGTGCAGACTTCCCAGGGCATTATAAAGCAAGATAACTTTAACAATACGGTAACGTTTTGCATCACGGTGGAGTCAGGGCAACTGAATCCAGCGTTTACTGACCGGATGCCCTTCCTGACGCCTATACAGAGTTCACAGCAGACAATTACTCATTGAGCCCAGAGACAGAAATATCTGCCGCAACCTGGGATCGAATTTACAGCCTCCTGATTGTGAGGCCAGAGCTCCACCTCTTGGCCAACGTTCTCACATGATCTTGATTCCATCCCTCTGTTAATGCAGCCTAGGACTGCGTTGGCTTTTTTGCACACAGCTGGCTCCTATTTAAGTGATTATCCACTCGGACTCCAAGGTCCCCCTCGCTGTTAGTGCTATTGAGCCAGGTTGCAGCTGTACTACAGGTAGTCCTTGATGTACGACGGCAATTGACCCCAACATTTCTGTTGCTAAGTGAGACATGGCAAGAAAGGTCATTAAAAAGGTCACAAATCTATTTCTTCACCCTCAAAGTTAAAAAAAGGCCTTTGCCATTAGCACAAGCCTTGAGGTTTAGTCTCGGAGTTTATCCATCCTTCCCTTCCCTTCAGGCCTCGTGAAAACCTTGGCAGACACGTTTTTATTCAGGTTCTTATTATGCCTCATGATCCAGAATATCCGGTTCTTTGAAAGTCATCGGATCAATTTCAGGGAATTCAGTTGCAAACAAAATTCGCCAAGGGGGTGTGGGTATCTGTCTGACGTGGACAGTTGACAAACGATTGCACCTCTTTAGCCAGGAATTCTGGGTTTTTGCAAAAGGTGAGTGTCCCGTCCAGGAACTCCTTGCAAATTCTTGGGGATGGAAAGCAGAGATGACCGAGAGACTAAAGAGATATTGAAAGAAAGTGGGGAAACAATGACACAGAGGCCTCGACGTACGACGATTCCTTTTAGGACCGTTCAAAGTTGCAACAGCATTGAAAAAAGTGACTTACATCCAGTCCTCGCACTTATGACCATCACAGCTTCCTCACGGTCACATACACATAAGTCGGGCACATGTAATTACAACACTGGCAGCATCCTGGCATCACATGTTCCCCATTTGCAACCTTCCCAGCCAGCTTCCGACAACCAATGTCAATGGGGGAAGTTGGATTCACTCAATGACCATGATTTGCTTAACCACTACAAAAAACGTAAAATTAGATTATGTGCAGAAAAAATACCAAGTTAGGAAGTATCAAATTGCTTTTCACTGAAAGTTATATAAAAATAGAAATGTATGAATTGTGAAGAGAGAAAAAATTATAAGGGGGCTTGAGGGGTTCAAGTTTTTATAAAAAAGGGGATCTTGATGGGATTATATTCTGTGGAAGTCAGAGGGGGAGGGTTAGGGGGGGCTTGGGGGGGTTAGGGTGGGGAGTGAGGGGTGGGTTGGGGGGGGAAAAGTGGGGTGAAAATGTAATTGTAAAACTTTTGCAATAAAAAAAACGTAAAATTGGGTGTGACTCACTTAATAACTGCCTCACTTAGCGACAGACCACACCCTCACCAAAATGACAGGGCAAGCCACTTGTTTTATAAAAAGGGAGCTCCCTATTAGCATTGATGATGTTAACTAGTCGGGTCATGAAATGATTGCAAGGAAACAGTCAAGCTCAGAGAGCACCAACCCTGAGCTACCCATATTCTCTTCCATTGGAAGACGGGAATGTTGTGGTTTTCTATCCTTTCAGCTTTCAGTCTTTTATTTTGGTTTTAATTCTTTGCAGAGTCCCCAGGGAGCAGAGTCTCTTGCAACATCTATCAGTGCGTGTTGCAAAAGCATTTCCATTCCAGCCCATCCCCACGGGGGGAGTCTTAACCAAGACAACAGGAGGATGACTCAGTCACAGCTGCCCCCAGAGCTATGAGTCAGTGGGAGGCATGCCTTCCCCCACTCCTCTCTCTCTCTCTCTCTCTCTCTCTCTCTCTCTCTCTCTCTCTCTCTCTCCACATGGTCAGCAGCCGCTATACAAACCTGGATCTGGACACTGAGTCACTGTCCCTCTGCCGAGGCAGGAAGCCATTGGATGTGGGGGAAGGGAGGGGAAAGACAGGTCTACAAACTTACCTGTTATGATTCAGGGGAGGCATTGCTAGCACTTTCATTCGCTATCATTTTCTGGTGTGGGAGTTAAAACTGGGAGGCTGGTTTAGGAGATGGTGGGGAGGGTGGAATGTGTGTCTGTTGCATTTCCAGCTCTGCAGCTTTGCCCACCTGTTCAGAGGTGAGGGAGGGGCCTTCTGCAAACGGGACCCAGGGGGTCCCTCAGGTGGTGGAAGTTTGACCAATGGGATTCTCTCATCTCAAGAAACAGAGCAAACTGAGCTTTAAGTCTTCCACATACAGCAAGTCCTCAACTTACAACCACAATGGAGCCCAAAATTTTGCTAAATGAGTCTAGCCCCATTTTACGACCTTTCTTGCCCCTGTTGTTAAGTGAATCGCTGCAGTTGTTAAATTAGCAACACGGTTGTTGATGGATGGTGGCTTCCCCACTCACTTTGCTTGTCAGATGGTCGTAAAAAGGGATCGTCACGTGACCCTGGGACACTGCAACCATCATAAATATGAGTTGAGTTGCCAAGGGTCTGAATTTTGATCAAAGGACCAGAGAGATGCTGCAAAAGTCGTGTGAAAAATGGCCATGTCACTTTTTTCAGTACCATTGTAACTTTGGTCAGTAAATGAATGGTTGTAAGTCAAGGACTACCTATATAATGCTTGGCTGTGTGAAGCCTGCAGTCTTCTCTCTCTCTAAGGCAGCGCATCTCTTGCTTGGCCACCTTGAAGATGGGTGGACTTCAACTCCCAGAATGCCATGCTGGCTGGGGGAATTCTGGGAGTTGGAGTCCACCCATCTTAAAGGGCCAGGGTTGAAACATTGAAAAAAACAGCTAGCAGAATAACAGGTTTTGCATCCAAGGAGACAGCAGGGGGCGCTGTTTCATCCCCGCCTATTATTTCCCTGCCTCGAATTGGAAGAGAAGTTTGGCTAGAAATCTGAATTTCTTGGATGTTGCAGCTCTGGACTCGTTTTTGGACTTGTTTTGGATGTTTTGAAGATAAATGGACGGACAGACAAACAAACAAACAGAGAGGCCCTATTTTTCCCTCTTGTTCTGGGAGGCTGGCTGGCCCCTCTTCACCATCTTTAAGAGGTGAGCACCCCAAACACTTGCTGGTTTTTAATTCCCTTATTTTTCTTTTTTTAACAGGCGAGCATTCTGGCAGTCTTGCGGGCTGGGGAGAATGGAGGCTGTAGTGGAGTGCCCTTAGATGACTGTCCTCATCTACAGGTAGTCCTCGACTTATGACCGCAACTGAGTCCTAATGTGTTGTTCGTAAGTGAAACATATGTTGAGTTTTACCCCATCTTACAACCTTTCTTGCTAAGTGAATCACTGCAGTTGTTAAGTGAGTAACATGGTTGTTAAGTGAATCTGGCTTCCTCATTAGACTTTGCTCGCCAAAGGGGATCATCATATGACCCCCGAGACACTTCAACTGTCGTAAGTATGAGTCAGTGGCCAAGCGTCTGAATGTTTATCATATGACCACAGGGACACTGGTCGTAAGTATGAAAAAGGATCATAAATCACTTTTTTCAGTGCCATTGCAACTTTGAATGGTCGCTAAATGAACCTACGCGCTTTCCGCCGTGCCATCAAAACATTTCTATTTCAGCAGGCCAGCCTGGCCTAACCTCTCTTTTAAATTGTTTTTAAAAAAAATTTAAATTTTTAAATTTTAAACTTGTCTTATGAACTTGGGGTGTTTTAAATTTCGTTTTCCTGGCCAATTATCTAATTGTATTTTAATGGTTTTTTAACATTTGTATTATATGTATTTTATTCGGCTGTTCACCGCCCTGAGTCCTTCGGGAGTAGGGCGGTATACAAATTCAATTAATAATAATAATAATAACAACAACAACAACAACAACAACAACAACAACTGTTGTGAGTCAAGGACTACCTGGCAGGCAGAGGCTGACCCACGTTTTGATGTCCTTGCTGATCTTGGAAAGTTCTGAATTTAACCTGCGCATGTTTAACTAAGGAGGAATTGCTCAGGTGTGGCATCCTTTCAGTTTTGAACTTTTCAAGGGTTTGAGTGGGTCAATTAATTTGATTGATTGATCTCTATAGCTGCCCTGCTCACCAAACGACTCCGGGCAGCTCACAATTCGAAACGTATTTTTAAAACATTTTTAAAACAATTGATGAAGATTTTGCATTATTGTGTTGCTGCTGTGTGAGCATCTCTCCCATGCAAATCAACCTTGGCACCTTTAAGACTTGTGGACTTCAACTCCCAGAATTCTCCACCTTGTAGAATGATGGAGGGGATGAGAAGGGTCATCTAGTCCAGTGTTTCTTGGCCCCTTTAAGGGGGGGGACTACAACTCCCAGAATTCCCCAGACAAGAGAAGGAGGAGAAGTTGGGGAAGTTGGAAGTTGGGGAAGTTGGAAGAGCTGGCTAGGGAATTCTGGGAGTTGTAGTCCACAAGTCATAAAGTCACCACGGTAGGACATCCTAGTTTATATGTCATAGCCTGCCAACTCTTCCCATTTCCAACTCTCCCCCAACCATATCCACCTTCTCTGTCAGGGGAATTCTGGGAGTTGTAGTTGCCCCCCTCTCAAAAGGGGGCAAGAAACACTGGAAAAGATTACCCTTCTAGTCCGTCCCAACTCTATCATTCTATCAGGTGGAGACAGACTCTGGACAGCAAGGCAGGTCCATGGGCTTTGCGGTCACCTGCTGGCCCATTCTTTTAGGCCCCTCATTCGAATCCTGGCACTCGTTGCAGGACGTTTTGCTCCTGTTCTTCCAGGGCAGCGTGTCGTCTCCACCTCTTTGCAAGTGAGACACTCAAAGAATTTGAACTCCGTTTATTTTGAAACAAATGGTCCAGTAACAAGATATGAAATCCACTTCCCTCTTTTTTTAAATCCCGCCCCCCCCCCAAATGCAAAAGGGGCTATAGGGAAAGCAGCCCCTGAAAGCTACAGTTACAATCCTACAGTTTAAGGCTAGTCAAATCTCACTTTTCCTGCTCCACTAGCCTTACAGACTCGGCAGGGGGCAGTGAGAGTGAGAGAACGAGAAAGAGAGAGAGGAAGAGAGAGAAAGAGAGGAAAAGGGGAAAGAGAAAGGAAAGAGAGGGAGAGGGAAAGAGAAAGAGATAGAAAGAGAGAGAGAGAGAGAACGAAAAAGAGAGAGAACGAGAAAGAGAACGAGAGAGAGAATGAGAAAGAGAGAGAAGGAAAGAGAAAGAGAGAGAAAGAGAAAGAGAGAGGGTGAGAGAGGGAGAGAGGGGAGGTTCCATGGAAAGCATCCCCCCAATATCTCCTGCTGCTTGACCCCTGAGGTAGGGGCTCCCCCACCAGGCAAGGTACTCCCCAGCATAGAAAGAGTGTTAATAATCCCAGAACAAAGGTGGAAAAGTTGTCTCGGTTGCCCCCAGCTGCCTTTCCATGCTTGGTTTAAGGGAAGAAATGGCAGAACTGGGGGTGGCGTCAAAAGAGGCACCAGCCTAGAATCCTTACATAGCCGCAAACTAAGTCCAACTTCACTGGAATCCCCTTGACTCTAGCAGGTGCTGATCGTGAGTTGAGAAAATCCCCTACGCTTTTAGCAATAAATCAGGTTCATTGAACCTTCACCTGTAGACCTGGCCTTTCCCACCTGGATTGGCCCAAGATGGCCTGACTGGGAAGGGCCCCCCCCCATGTTTTGTAGGCAGCTCATCCCCCCAAAAAAATTTGCTGACACACAGATACACACACACACACACACACAGAGCTCAATTTCATTGGGAGGAAGAGGAGCACAGCAGAGGGTGTCCACCTGTTTAGGCTGGCAAGGTGACTCTGCTCTTGGACGTGGCCCATCTGGCAGCCGGAGAAGGCTGTTGCCACGTTCTGCTAGGTCACACCATCAGAATATCGTGCCTCTATCTCTATATAGAGATATAGAGATAGATAGTTGAAGTGGCTCAACTGCCCGTTGGACAAGAGCCTGAAGACCTCAGGGATCACAAATGATGCAATGTGATGGAGATGTCCTCTACAGCAGGGGTCTCCCACCTTGGCCACTTTAAGACCTGTGGACTTCAACTCCCAGAATTCCTCAGCCAACTTTGCTTTCCATAGCTTTCCACAGGTCTTAAAGTGGCCAAGGATGGAGAAACCCCTGCTCTATAGGATGGACTCTCCTTCTCCCTACCTATCCGAGAGCGGGCCCAGAAGGACATTGGCTTCTTGGGGGGGTGCCATCATTCTCCCCCTGGGTCCAGCTGAAACCAGCAGGGTCAAAGCAGGGAGCTGATGTCCCCCCCCAAAGTAGCCGAAGGCCCCCCCTCTCCAAGCTGAAGGACTTTACAGGTGGACTCACCCAGGACATGAAGGCAGAACTCACAGCCACTACAGAAGGCAGCCAGATGCTTGCAGATCAGCCGTGGGAAAGAGTCTTAGAGTTAAGGTTAGGGTCCATCTCTACCTTCCATAAGCAAGTCACACTTCATGCCCAACTTTGTACAGGTAGTCCTCGACTTATGACCACAATTGAGCCCAACGTTTCTGTTGCAAAGCGAGAGACTTGTTAAGTGAATTTTGCCCCATTGAACGAACGTTCTTGCCACCGTCGTTAAGCACAGTAATTAAATTAGTAGCACGGCTGTTAAGCGAATCTGGCTTCCCCCTTGTCTTTGCTTCTCAGGAGGTTGTGGAAGGGGGTCACGTGACCCCAGGGATACCATGACCGTCATAAATACGAGTCAGTGGCCAAGCGTCTGAATTTGGATCATGTGACCCTGGGGATGCTGCAACGGCCATAACTTCGAACGGTCACTAAGTGAAGTCGAGGACCACCTGTGAGGTGAGAAAGCAAGCGGACGTGCTACGGTAGAAGTCATGCCCACCCATAGGTCGCAATGGCCCTGCCCAACATCCAGGGCTTTCCACGAGACCTGGGGGGGGGCGGCACGGGGGAGAGGAGGCGTCCACGGGGCACAAATGGCCGTTGGGATATTTCCACCAAAGCTCTGGTGGCGTTTCGTGAGTCTTGCCAGCGGGAGACACGCAAAAGACAGGCAGAGCTGTGGGCAGAACCATCGTGGCTGCCATCCTGACCCATCCCAGAATTTTGAATCTCGGAGGGACCCACAGGGAGGGGGGCACTCTGCTCCACTGGTGGGTTGCTACCGGTTCGCCCCGGTTTGGGCAAATAGCAGTGGTGGGAGGCTCCGCCCACCTGCCCGGATGTCATCAAATGCACTCTGCGCATGTGCAGAAGCTTCAGAAGCTGTGCGAGCGAACCAGTAGCAAAGGTAAGTGAAACCCACCACTGCCCTGCTCCTTCTTGGGTCCAGAAATGGTGGGGAGAGGGTCTTGGCAGTGTGTGTTGGGGGTGGGGGGGGTTCCTGTCATGTGGGGAGGGGCTTTTTGGTCTGCCGTCCACTAGGATGCAGCAATAACGCAACACCAAAGAGGTTGCAGGCGTAAGTAGGACCCCCCCCCCAAGGGCTCCCTGGTCAACGCTGGAGGAAGCTGAAACTGGAAATCCAGCAGCCTTCCACCTCTTGCTGGGGGGGAGGCCTTCTACCCATGTTGTCCCCCCCCCCCAGTAAAGGCAAAAGGCTTTGCACGGGGGGGAGGGGGTGTTCCCTGCCAAGGTAGCCCCCCCCCCATCCCAACCTCTCCAAGGAGCAGCAGATGCCTTCATGGGAAGAAATGTCCTCCTTCCTCCGGATTACCTGCCGTCTTGCAAAGCTCAGGGGTCCCGTGGAAAGACCCCGGCTCTTCTTCCCTCCCCCCACCCCTCTGTGCAGCCAAAGGAAGGTGGCCGTTGCAGAAAAAGCTAGGAAAGAAACCAGCCACAGGAGGAGACGGGGGTGTCTGGCATGGGGGGGAGTGAAGGGGGAACTGCCAACATGAATGGGGTGCCTTCCTCCGAAAACCTGGCTCTCTGCCTGAAGCGTCCCATGACTCACTGACCCTCCAGAGAAGGAGAAGAATCCTGTCCTATGACCGGCACTAAATGAGGCCGGCCCACCCTGCCTCCTTTGCAAAGACAGGAGTTGCACAGGCAAGAAGGAGCCCAGGTGGGTGGGTGGGTGTGGGTCAGAGTGGGTGGGCGGCACAGCTCTCCCCGCCCTCCCCTCCTCCCCCCTCCGGCCGGTGGGCCCTCAGTTGACGCTGTCCTCGTCGCTGCCTTCGGCCCGCTCCTCCTTGGTCTCGGCCAGGCTGCTCTCGTCAATGTTCTCCAGGGAGTCGGCGTGCTGGATGGAGAGGTCGGAGAGGGCCAGGCTGGGCAGGGTATTCTGCTCCGGGTAGAGCCAGGGCTTGAAGTGGGGGCTGTGCTTCTGCTTCCAGTCGGGGTACTTGACGCAGGCCTTGTACATCTTCTTCATGGCCTGCGGGAGGAGGAAGAGGGGAGAAACAAAGTCAGCCGAGGGAGGAAGAAGGGAGGAGGAGGAAAGTTAGTTGAGACAGAGGAGAAAAAGGAAAGGAGGTAGAAGAGAAAGAGAAGTTAATAGAGGAGAGGGAGGAGGGAAGAAGAAGAAGAAGAAGAAGAAGAAGAAGAAGAAGAAGAAGAAGAAGAAGAAGAAGAAGAAGAAGAGAAGAAGAAGAAGAAGAAGAAGTAAGCGAGACACAGGAGGAAAAAAGAAAGGAGGAAGAAGAGAAGAAGAAGAAGTAGTAGTTAGGCGAGACACAGGAGGAAAAAAGAAAGGAGGAAGAGGAGGAGGAGAAGGAGGAGGAGGAGGAGGAGGAGGAGGAGAAGAAGAAGAAGAAGAAGAAGAAGAAGAAAAGAAGAAGAAGAAGTAATAGTAGTAATTAGGCGAGACACAGGAGGAAAAAAAGAAAGGAGGAAGAAGAAGAGGAGGAGGAGAAGAAGAAGAAGTAGTAGTAGTAGTAGTAGTTAGGCGAGACACAGGAGGAAAAAAGAAAGGAGGAAGAAGAAGAAGAAGAAGAAGAAGAAGAAGAAGAAGAAGAAGAAGAAGAAGAAGAAGAAGAAAAGAAGAAGAAGAAGAAGAAGAAGAAGAAGAAGAAGAAGAAGAAGTAGTTAGTAGTAGTTAGACAAGACACAGGAGGAAAAAAGAAAGGAGGAAGAAGAAGAGGAGGAGAAGTTAATGGAAGAGGAGGAGGAAGCCTTCGCCCGGCAAAGGGGGGGAGGAAATTCAGAAGGCTCTTCAGCTTCAAAAGTCACTTCCTCCAGAGATGCCTTCAGAAGTGGAGGCTCAGCTGCTCAATCCCAAGGACATGCAGCTGCCTCCTCTCTTAAGGAACACCAAAAGACCTTCTGATGAGGTCAACCCAGCAGCCCTTTCCTCTTGGGCATTAAAGCTCCAGTCCTAAAAAGGAGCAATCCCAGAAGCCTTCTTTTGGATAAAGGACATCAGCAGACCAACCAAGAGTTGGTCATCCCCAGGAGATGTCCAAGCTTCCAACCTGGAGCACCACCCAAAAGCCCCCTTATCGATGCCCGAGGAACCCAAAGACATTTCAAACCGAGCTTCCAGGTTCTGAGGAAGACGGATGGATTTCAAATGTCTTCAGCTTCCTCTGTTGAAGGTCTTGGTGGTAAGCTCAATGCTTGGTGGTGGAAACTAATCAAGAGAACAACTAGCCACCTATCTGAGATGGTGTAGGGCAATGTTTCTCAACCTTGGAAGCTTGAAGATGGGTGGACTTGAACTCCCAGAATTCCCTAGCCCAGTGTTTCTCAACCTTGGAAGCTTGAAGATGGGTGGACTTCAACTCCCAGAATTCCCTAGCCCAGTGTTTCTCAACCTTGGAAGCTTGAAGATGGGTGGACTTCAACTCCCAGAATTCCCTAGCCCAGTGTTTCTCAACCTTGGAAGCTTGAAGATGGGTGGACTTCAACTCCCAGAATCCCCCAGCCCAGTGTTTCTCAACCTTGGAAGCTTGAAGATGGGTGGACTTCAACTCCCAGAATCCCCCAGCCCAGTGTTTCTCAACCTTGGAAGCTTGAAGATGGGTGGACTTCAACTCCCAGAATTCCCTAGCCCAGTGTTTCTCAACCTTGGAAGCTTGAAGATGGGTGGACTTCAACTCCCAGAATCCCCAGCCCAGTGTTTCTCAACCTTGGAAGCTTGAAGATGGGTGGACTTCAACTCCAGAATTCCCTAGCCCACTGTTTCTCAACCTTGGAAGCTTGAAATGGGTGGACTTCAACTCCCAGAATTCTCTAGCCCAGTGTTTCTCAACCTTGGAAGCTTGAAGATGGGTGGACTTCAACTCCCAGAATTCCCTAGCCCAGTGTTTCTCAACCTTGGAAGCTTGAAGATGGGTGGACTTCAACTCCCAGAATCCCCTAGCCCAGTGTTTCTCAACCTTGGAAGCTTGAAGATGGGTGGACTTCAACTCCCAGAATTCCCTAGCCCACTGTTTCTCAACCTTGGAAGCTTGAAGATGGTGGACTTCAACTCCCAGAATTCCCTAGCCCACTGTTTCTCAACCTTGAAGCTTGAAGATGGGTGGACTTCAACTCCAGAATTCTCTAGCCCAGTGTTTCTCAACCTTGGAAGCTTGAAGATGGGTGGACTTCAACTCCCAGAATCCCCTAGCCAGTGTTTCTCAACCTTGGAAGCTTGAAGATGGGTGGACTTCAACTCCCAGAATTCCCTAGCCCACTGTTTCTCAACCTTGGAAGCTTGAAGATGGGTGGACTTCAACTCCTCCCAGAATTCTCTAGCCCAGTGTTTCTCAACCTTGGAAGCTTGAAGATGGGTGGACTTCAACTCCCAGAATCCCCTAGCCCAGTGTTTCTCAACCTTGGAAGCTTGAAGATGGGTGGACTTCAATCCCAGAATCCCCTAGCCCAGTGTTTTTCTCACCTTGGAAGCTTGAAGATGGGTGGACTTCAACTCCCAGAATTCCCTAGCCCACTGTTTCTCAACCTTGGAAGCTTGAAGATGGGTGGACTTCAACTCCCAGAATTCCCTAGCCCAGTGTTTCTCAACCTTGGAAGCTTGAAGATGGGTGGACTTCAACTCCCAGAATTCTCTAGCCCAGTGTTTCTCAACCTTGGAAGCTTGAAGATGGGTGGACTTCAACTCCCAGAATCCCCTAGCCCAGTGTTTCTCAACCTTGGAAGCTTGAAGATGGGTGGACTTCAACTCCCAGAATTCCCTAGCCCACTGTTTTCTCAACCTTGGAAGCTTGAAGATGGGTGGACTTCAACTCCCAGAATTCCCTAGCCCAGTGTTTCTCAACCTTGGAAGCTTGAAGATGTGGACTTCGACTCCCAGAATTCCCTAGCCCACTGTTTCTCAACCTTGGAAGCTTGAAAGATGGGTGGACTTCAACTCCCAGAATCCCCTAGCCCAGTGTTTCTCAACCTTGGAAGCTTGAAGATGGGGACTTCAACTCCCAGAATTCCCTAGCCCACTGTTTCTCAACCTTGGAAGCTTGAAGATGGGTGGACTTCAACTCCCAGAATTCTCTAGCCCAGTGTTTCTCAACCTTGGAAGCTTGAAGATGGGTTGACTTCAACTCCCAGAATTCCCTAGCCCAGTGTTTCTCAACCTTGGAAGCTTGAAGATGGGTGGACTTCAACTCCCAGAATCCCCTAACCCAGTGTTTCTCAACCTTGGAAGCTTGAAGATGGGTGGACTTCAACTCCCAGAATTCCCTAGCCCACTGTTTTCTCAACCTTGGAAGCTTGAAGATGGGTGGACTTCAACTCCCAGAATTCCCTAGCCCACTGTTTCTCAACCTTGGAAGCTTGAAGATGGGTGGACTTCAACTCCCAGAATTCTCTAGCCCAGTGTTTCTCAACCTTGGAAGCTTGAAGATGGGTGACTTCAACTCCCAGAATCCCCTAGCCCAGTGTTTCTCAACCTTGGAAGCTTGAAAGATGGGTGGACTTCAACTCCAGAATTCCCTAGCCCACTGTTTCTCAACCTTGGAAGCTTGAAGATGGGTGGACTTCAACTCCCAGAATTCTCTAGCCCAGTGTTTCTCAACCTTGGAAGCTTGAAGATGGGTGGACTTCAACTCCCAGAATCCCCTAGCCCACTGTTTCTCAACCTTGGAAGCTTGAAGATGGGTGGACTTCAACTCCCAAATTCCCTAGTCCAGTGTTTCTCAACCTTGGAAGCTTGAAGATGGGTGGACTTCAACTCCCAGAATCCCCTAGCCCACTGTTTCTCAACCTTGGAAGCTTGAAGATGGGTGGACTTCAACTCCCAGAATTCCCTAGCCCAGTGTTTCTCAACCTTGGAGCTTGAAGATGGGTGGACTTCAACTCCCAGAATCCCCTACCCACTGTTTCTCAACCTTGGAAGCTTGAAGATGGGTGGACTTCAACTCCCAGAATCCCCCTAGCCCACTGTTTTCTCACCTTGGAAGCTTGAAGATGGGTGGACTTCAACTCCCAGAATTCCCTAGCCCACTGTTTCTCAACCTTGGAAGCTTGAAGATGGGTGGACTTCAACTCCCAGAATTCCCTAGCCCACTGTTTCTCAACCTTGGAAGCTTGAAGATGGGTGACTTCAACTCCCAGAATCCCCTAGCCCAGTGTTTCTCAACCTTGGAAGCTTGAAGATGGGTGGACTTCAACTCCCAGAATTCCCTAGCCCAGTGTTTTCTCAACCTTGGAAGCTTGAAGATGGGTGGACTTCAACTCCCAGAATCCCCTAGCCCCTGTTTCTCAACCTTGGAAGCTTGAAGATGGGTGGACTTCAACTCCCAGAATTCCCTAGCCCAGTGTTTCTCAACCTTGGAAGCTTGAAGATGGGTGGACTTCAACTCCCAGAATCCCCTAGCCCACTGTTTCTCAACCTTGGAAGCTTGAAGATGGGTGGACTTCAACTCCCAGAATCCCCTAGCCCAGTGTTTCTCAACCTTGGAAGCTTGAAGATGGGTGGACTTCAACTCCCAGAATCCCCTAGCCCAGTGTTTCTCAACCTTGGAAGCTTGAAGATGGGTGGACTTCAACTCCCAGAATTCCCTAGCCCACTGTTTCTCAACCTTGGAAGCTTGAAGATGGGTGGACTTCAACTCCCAGAATCCCCCAGCCAGCGCTGCTGGCTGGGGGATTCGGAGTTGAAGTCCACCCATCTTCAAGCTACCAAGGTTGAGAAACACTGGTGTAGGGTCTCCTGCTTAAGCAGAGGGTTGGACTAGAAGACCTCCAAGCTCCCTTCCGGCTCTATTCTGATGGAATGATGTGTTCCTACACCTTCAACCTGTTCGGTGTTGCCTCACTGCTGCATGGACTGCAGCATCCGAACCTACCCAACAGTCCCAACAAGACCCCCCCCCCCCACCCTCTGCCCCGGCCCTCTCCCCACCCTCTCTGGACCTAGGAAGGAGCAGGGTCCCCCCCCCTTTCCATGGGTCTCCCCAAGATTCAAACTTCCCTGCAGATCTGCGGGCCTCGGGGCTCAAAACGGGCCAAGCCGCTTTTTGGCAATCTCATTCCCCACCGAAAGGGCTCCCGAACTCGTCTTTGTCACGGGAGAGAAACGCAACGATCCCTTTTCAAACAGGACGGCATTGTCGGGGAACACAAAGCCGCCCTCGAAACTTAAGACCTTTTCCGTCTCTGGAAAGCCGATACGCTTCAAGGCGACAACAAAGGCAGCCTCCTCGTTCTTTGTCTGCTTCTCCTGCAGGTTCTTTCTTTCTTTCTTTTTTTTGTCCTCTTCCCCCTTTTTCATTAGCGGGAGGTTCGGTTGCATTTGCTGACGGGGTTGTTTTGTTTTCCACGGCCATTGTGAGCAGGAGGCTTCACGCCATCTCTCAGCAACCAGGGGGGCCGCTCATGAAGGGAGGGGAAGGGGACGGGATCAGAATACAGAACAACAAGAGTTGGAGGACCTCGGAAGTCTTCTGGTCCAAGGGTCTCCAACAGGGTTGGCCACTTTAAGCCTGGAGGACTTCAACTCCCAGAATTCAACTCCCAGAATTCAACTCCCAGAAAGCAAAGCTGGCTGGGGAATTCTGGGAGTTGAAGTCCTCCAGGCTTAAAGTGGCCAACCCTGTTGGAGACCCCTGTTCTAGTCCAACCCCTTGCTCCAGCTTGTTAAGACTTTACTCATTTACCATACAGTTACATTAACAGAATCCTACAACTACAGAGGTGGGAAGGGATCTTGGAGGTCTTCTAGTCCAACACCATTGGTGTAGGTCTTCTAACCCTACACCATTTCATTCCAATGGCCGTCTAATCTCTTCTTAAAGACCTCCAGGGATGGAGCACCCACAACTTCTGGTGGCAAGTCGTTCCACTGGTTAATTGTCCTCACTGTTAGGAAGTTTCTCCTCGATTCCAGGTTGCTTCTCTGCTTGATTATTTTCCATCCGTTCCTCCTTGAAGTGCCTTCAGGTACTTTGGAGAATAGCTTGACCCACTGGTGAAATCCAATTTTTTTTTACTACCAGTTCTGTGGGCGTGGCTTGGTGGGCGTGGCAGGGGAAGGATATTGCAAAATCCCCATTCCCACCCCACTCTGGGGCCAGCCAGAGGTAGTATTTGCCGGTTCTCCGAACTGCTCAAAATTTCCACTACCGGTTCTCCAGAATCTGTCAGAACCTGCTGGATTTCACCCCTCGCTTGACCCCCTCCTCTCTGTGGCAGCCCCCCAAGTATTGGAAGGCTGCTATCTGTCTCCCCCAGTCCTTCTCTTTACTTGACTAGCCATGCCCAGGTCCTGCAACCGTTCATCGTATGTTTTAGTCCCGTAATCACCCTGGTTGCTCTTCTCTGCACTCTTTCCAGAGACTGAGAAGCTTGCGGGATGAAAAAAGGAAAAATTTCAAGGAAAAAAACCCCAAAAAAGTCCAACTTTGGGACAAACTGATCGATGATGGAGCTGATCCAGGAACATCAGTCCAGAGAGGTGCCTCTGCTAATCTCTGCCAAACACTTCTCACAACCCACAAATGCAGCCCATTTGTGAGTTCGGAAGGCCTCGGCAGTCTTATATTCTTTTGAAAGCCTTTTCATGGCAGGTTTTCCTTGACCAAAAGAAGCCAATTTTGTCCACAGCCCCTGAAGGCAGGAGAGGAAGCAACAGACGGAAACTGATCAAGGAGAGATCCAACCTCGAACTCAGGAGGAATTTCCTGACAGTGAGAACCATTTCAGGTAGTCCTCGACTTACGACCATTCACTCAGTGACCCTTTGAAGTTACAACAGCACTGAAAAAAGTGAATGTTCACACTTACGACCGTTGCAGCGTCCTCATGGTCACGTGATCAAAATTTGGACGCTTGGCAACTGACTCGTATTTATGACGGTTGCATCCCTGGCTCACACGATCCCCTTTTGCGACCTTCTGACAAGCAAAGTCAAGGGGGAAGCCAGATTCGCTTAACAACCGTGTCACTAACTTAACAACGGCAGTGTTTCACTTAACAACGGTGGCAAGAAAGGTTTGTAAAATGGAGCAAAGTTCACTTAACAACTTTCTCACTCGGCAACAGAGAATTTGGGTTCAATTGTGGTCGTAAGTCGAGGACTACTTGTCACTAGTAATTTGGCCATCTTCCTTAAGAACCAATCAAAACTTTCGCTATCTTCGGTCAATTTCACTCCCCAAATCCAAATCACCACCAGTTTATATTCCAAGCCCTGAACTGCATCTCTGAGAGCAAAGCGATTGCCCGCACAAACGTATTAAACGTTCTTTGAAGAGCCTCATATCTTTGAAATGTTTCCTCTTCTTCTTTTTTAAATTCCATCCACCTCATTTCAAGATCAAAGGGACCTTCCAGCCGTTCCCCAGCAGAGAACCATGCCCACTCTTCCTCCCACACCTGCTGCCCTCAATAATTCATGCCCATCTCAGCTCCACTTTTCAACTTCCCATAAAAAGGAATCAATAACCTCCGAGTCTTGATTGATTAACCCCAAAACCTCCAACCTCTGGATTTTTTTTTTCCAGCAACCTCCCCAATATTCTCCTAAGAAGAATCGCGCAGAGATAAAACTTCTGTAAATCTGCAAAAGTTTTGCAAGATCTATTTACTATCCAAAGCGTTGCTTAAATGCCAGGGTGGAGAAACAGAGGAGTGCTTTTCAAGATTTAAATCACCTCTGAAGTCCAATATATCTTAACCTCACTATCTTCTTATCTCATAAACCAACAAGAATAATCCTTTTTTTACCCTCTATTAAACGTTTTCTTAAGCAATCCTGCCAGGGCAAGCTACACTATATAAACAGAGAGCAAACCCCACATTCTGTAGCACTGATGATGTTCCCTATTTGGGTCATGAAATGTCTAGAAGAAAATCAGCAAGCTCAAAGAGCACCCACAGTTCTCCTTTTCCTTCTCCTTTTCCTCCTCCTCTCCTTCTCTTTCTCATTCCCTCCTCTTTCCTTCCTCCTCCTCCCTTCTCCTTCTCCTCTTTCTCCCTGCAAACCCCATTCTCTTCTGGCACTGATGATGTACTCCTCCTCTTCCTCCTCCCTGTAAACCCCTCTCCCACCTAGCACTGATGATGTTCCCTAGTTGGGCCATGAAATGTCTGGAGAAAAACCACCAAGCTCATAGACTCCACAAACCTCCTTCTCCACCAAGGACCACACAGTTCTCCTTCTCTTTTCTTCCTTCTCCCCCTCTCTCCAACACCCACTCTCTTCTAATACTGATGATGTTCCCTAGCTGGACCATGAAACGTCTGCAAGAAAGGAGCCAAGGACCCCACAGTCGTCCTCCTCCTCCTCTTCCTCTCTGCAAATCCCGCATCCTTCTAGCATTGATGACGTTACCTATTAGGGTAATGAAACATCTGCAAGAAAACCACCAAGCTCAGAGAGCACCAAGGATCTCACGGTTCAACCCTGAGCTACAAATATTATTATTATAATCTTCCCAGAGAAGTCCTAATAGTGAAGGGATTTGAAATGGAATAAACAACGGATGAAGATGGAGCTGCGTTTGGATGATCTTCTTATCCAAGGCACATCATTCTCCCACCTCTTCCCAAAGGTGCTTTTCAAAAGGCAACAGGACATTCTCATTCTCATCCAAGAAGCTTCTTTAGATCTGGAAAAGTTCTGAAGCTTCTTGGACGAGAAGCAAAACGTCTTCAAGAAAAAACCAGAAAGTCCAGTTGCCTTTTGGGGAAAAAAGCACCTTTGGGATGGCTGAGAATAATCTCCATAGACATATTCCCACCTATTCCCAGCCAGAGGTCTTGAACTTCCAGCCACTCCTGGCCACTGGATGAGCCCAGGTGAGCCAGGTAGCTGCAGAAAGAAGAGAAAAATGGATCCCACCTTACCTTGGGAGCCAGGAATTGAGAAGATTTATTCACAACCCACTTTGGCAAAGAACCTGCAACGGAGAAAAAATCGAAATACTGATCAGGGCACGACTCGCTCAGGCTAACCAGTTTAGATTACAAGGCAATTCAGAGATACAGGTAGTCCTTGACTTACAACCATTCATTTAGTGACCGTTCACTTACAACAGCACTGAAAAAGTGACTTTTGAATGGTCCTCGCATTTACGACCTCCAGAACACCCCTACGGTCGCATAATTCAAAATTTAGGAGCTTGGCCACCAGAGTGTATTTAGAATGGTTTGCAGTGTCCTGGGGTCATGTGGCCACCACTTGTGGCCTTCCCACAAGTTAAGCCAACGGGGGAAAGCCGAATTCACATAACGACCCAATCACTCACTTAACAACGGCAGTGAATCGCTTAACAGCCGTGATGAAAAAAGGTCGTAAAATCGAACACGGTTCCCTTAACAGCAGCCTGTCTCAGCCATGGAAATTCTTCTCCCAATTGTGGCCGTATACACGAGACGCCGGTCAGTTCCACGTCCACCTGCACTCCTTGTATCAATGACCCTCCCCCCCATTTGGGGAAGTGATCCACACAACACAACTATTGTCAGGGAGTTTGGAAGCCACACAAGCCATGAATATTTGATGCCACAAAGCGATTCCATGTTAGTAGCTACTGATTTATTTATACGATTGGAAATCCACCAATTATGTTTTAGAAATGCAGATGGTCTCCTTTTCAGGAATGAATCAATCAGCTGGCATCAACGGATGGGATTTCGGGTAGTCCTCGGTTTATAGCCATTCACTTAGCGATGGTTCAAAGTTACGACGGCACTGAAAAAATGGATTTATGGCCGTTTTTCACCCTTGCAGCATCCCCATGCTCAATTGATCAAAATTTAGTCAGTCGGTAACTGGTTTCATATTTATGACGGTCGCAGCGTCCCGGGGATCATATGATCATATTTTGTGACCTTCTGATAAGCAAAGTCAATGGGAAAGCCCGATTCACTTAACAACCGTGTTACTAACTTAACCACTGCGGTGGTTCGCTTAACGACTGTTGGCAAAAAAGGCCATAAACTGAAGCAAAACTCACAGCTTTCTTGCTTAACCACAGAAATTTGGGGCTCAGTTTTGGTCGTACATTGAGGATTACCTGTATTTATGACAGTTGCACTGTCCTGGGGTCATGCAGTCACCACCTGGAACCATTCCAGCCAGCTTCCGGAAAGCAAACTCAATGGAGGAAGACAGATTCACTTAACGGCGTGATTTACTTAACAACGGCACTGATTCGCTTAACAACTACGGCACAAAAGGTTGTAAATAGGGCACAACTCATTGGACCACTGCCTTGCTCAGCAACAGGTACTTTGGGCTCAGTTGTGGACTATATAGGTAGTCCTCGAGTTACGACCACAATGGAGCCCAAAGTTTATTTTGCCAAATACGATCACAATCGACCACAAAAATCCCGTGGACAAGCAAGTCAGTTCTTAACTGAGTTTGCCCCATTTTATGATCTTCCTTGCCACGGTTGTTAAGTGAATCACTGTGTTTGTTAAGTTAGTCACACAGTTGTTAAGCGAATCTGGCTTCCCCGCTGACTTTGCTTGTCGGAAAGTTGCAATAGTGGATCACGAGACCCCCTGCCACCGTCATAAATACGAACCAGTTGCCAAGCCTCTGAATTTTGACCATGTGACCATGGAGACGCTGCAAAGGTCGTAAGTGTGAAAAACGGTCCTGAGTCCCTTTTTTTCAAGACCATTGAGACTTCAAACAGTCACTAAATGAACAGTTGCAAGTTAAATCAATTTCATTGTCTACAGGATGTACAATGACAATAAGGGCTTTGAAGTTAAGGATTACCTGTACAAATCAATATTTGCAAGCACAGCTTTCCAGGAAGCAAAGCCCAGAGTTTTGCACCTCTGCCCAACCGGGTGGAGTGACTCCCTTGGTGCACGGTGGGAGGGCACAACCTTACCTTTGGGATCTACCTGAGCAAGGTAGGTGAGGCTGCAGTTCTTGGCTCCTTTGCCCTGGATCAGGTAGCCCGTTTGGATGGAGACGGCTCTGACCATGTCTTTCCGCGGAGGGTATTTCTGAAAAGAGACCAGTGGAAAACTTTAACTCCCAGCAGCAAAACCTGGAACTGGCCCTAACATGATGTGTGCATTTATTCCGATCAGAATAGAGCTGGTAGGGGCCTTAGAGGTCTTCTACTCCAACCCCCTGCTCGGGCAGGAGACCATTTCAGACAAGTGACTGTCCAATCTCTTCTTGAAAGCCTCCAGGGATGGAGCTCCCACCACTTCTGGTGGCAAGCTGTTCCACTGGTTAATTGTTCTCATTGTCAGGAATTTTCTCCTTAGTTCTAAATTGCTTCTCTCCTTGATTAGTTTTCACCCGTTGCTTCTTGTCCTGCCCTCAGGTGCTTTGGAGAATAGTTTGACCCCCTCCTCTTCTTTGGGGCAGCCCCTCAAATGTTGGAAGACGGCTATCCTGTCCCCCCTAGTCCTTCTCTTCACTAGACTAGCCAAACCCAGTTCCTGCAACCATTCTTCGTATGTTTTAGTCTTAAAACATACATATGTTCTTCGTATGTTTTAGCCAGGCCTCTTAATCATCCTAGTTTTTCTTCACATTCATTTTCTAACAGCCACGGAGCCCGTGGAAGCATCCTAGAGCAGAGTCTCCAACCTTTGCAACTTTTTAGCACATGTGGACTTCAACTCCCAGAATCCCCCAGCCAGCCAGGTTTCATAACCTAAGGGGGAACTAGAACTCGTAGCCTCCTGGTGACTGGCACCCTGTCGGAAGTGCCGGCTTCATATTTGGGTTACACTTTTGCTTCGGTGCCAGTCTGACTGAACTGGGGTGGGTGGGAGGGAGGGAAGCCAAAGGGGAGGGGTTGCATGTAGGAGCCCACAGTTCACTGTGCCATCTGGAGACTCGAATTCAAGGACAAGCACCCAGGAAGGAATGTAGCCGCATACCAAGGAGGACCCTTCCAACAACATCATCAACACCTCGCTTGAAAAGGATTGGACGACTGAGGGCTAAGAGCCGGGGGGGGGGGAGCATCCTGGCAAGGAGGAATTATGCTTGGGAACTTGGCACAGGTCCCTTCGATCTTGCTTTGCTCTGCTGCCTTCTGCTTGAAAGCTCTGCCTTTTACACCCAATAGTATCGTTCTTACTTAAAGGCTGAGGCAGGGCTGACATCGAGCCGTCGATCCACCTGGAGAACTATTCTACGGTGGGGACAGTGCCGGCTGGGGAAAGGAGGAGGAGATGGAAAAACGGGAAGATGCCACATCGAGGCCAGAGGGCAGAGCTGAGATTCCTGAGCTGGAGGAACTCCAGACAGCTCAGAGGAGAACCCAGCATGGCCAGGCTGACTTTGGCGCACGGGCAAAGACCTTGATGCGGAAACCGAGGCCTCTGCCCCCATGCCCCGAAGGACGGTGGGAGCCCTCCCCAGAGAGAGGGCGACCTCGATGGTCCCTGGGAGTCAGGCAACTGGAAGAGGAGCCCCCAGAGAGTGTCACCGTCACTCGAAGGCCTGGGCACAGAGATTGGCACCCAATCAAGCCGACATTGGCTAAGAGAGACCTTCAAGCCACGGCTGTTGACATGCCTGGAAGTCATTTTTCAGGGCTGATGCGTTGTGATCCAGTGGACCAGGCCACTCACTGGAGGCCAGCACCAGCACCCACTGCAGCTCAGCCCGTCCCACGACTGCCGGTCTCAGCCCTGCCACCAGCCCGAGCCACCCTGGTGACCAGAGGTGATTGTCGGCCACTACGGATACGGGAGAAATTCAACGGGGACCTGAAGCAGTTGGAGACATTGCTTGTCCGAGTATGGTCTTTCATGACAAGATACGCAGACGTCCTCCCCAGTGAGGAGGCCATGGTGTACTGCGTGGTGAGAGCCCTGGACGGGGAGGCCGCTGACTGGGCCGTGACCCTGTACGAGGAGGAGGCCGAAGAGCTGCATCACTTCGAGGCTTTCATAGCCGCCCTGATACAGCGCTTCGAGGACCCTCTGGCCGATCGGAAGGCCAAGATAAAACTGCAAACCATCAAGCAGGGCGGACGAACCACCACCGCTTACATCCGGGAGTTCCGGCCTCTGCTTGATCGGCTCAGGAGAGAGGGGGAAGAAAGGCTCATCGAGTATTTCCAACGAGGCTTGGATCCAGAAGTGCTTTTCGTCTGCCTGCGCAGAGGTTCGGCCAAGACCCTCCAGGAGTGGTATGTCCTAGCCCAAAAGGTGGACTTTGGCCTGGCTGAGATTTGCGACCGACAGTACAGGACCCCAGGATCGGGCAGACAAGGCCCCAGCTCCAGACGACGCCCAATCTGGTGCGTCCGGTGTCTACAGAAGGGCCACGGGGTGAGCGACTGCCCTCCCCTGCGATCGGCCCCCAAAAGCCCGAGGCGAAGGAAACTAGGCGCCAAACGCAACACAGCAGTGTGCAAGGGGGCCAAAGTCGTAGAGTTCACTCCGCCGTCGAGCGAAGACGAGGGAACTGCGACGGAAGAGGCGGAGTCAACTGTGGAAAGTGACAGCAGTGGGGACGATGACGGCAACTTTTTCTAAGGGAGGCAGAAGGTCAAAAGTGCCACCTGACATTTGTCTTACACCTTTGCTATGGGGGTGGGGGGGAAGGGAAGCCGAAGGAGAGGGGGGCTGGAGGAGCCCACAGGTCACTGTACCAGCTGGAGACTCGAATTCAGTCCTTTGCATACCAAGGACGACTGTTCCAGCAACATCAGCATCTAGTTTGATTGGACCATCAAGGGCTAACCGGGGTGGGGAGGGTGGGGGGGGATCCTGGCAAGGGAGGATTATTCTTGGGAATAATTGGTGTGGGAACCTTAGATCTGGCTTTGGTCTACTGTACTCTGCTTGACCTTTAGTAAACTATACCTTTTTCACCAAATGGAGTCTAGGATCGTTCTTACTTAAAGGTTCTAGCTGCTACAGGGCCCAAGGCAGAACTAGAACTCACCGTCTCCTGGTGATTGGCTCAAAGTCGCCCAACCAGCTAAGGCAGGACATAAACTCACCGCCTCCTGCTTTCTAGCCAGGTATCTTAACTACTAGAGTCCAAACGGGTTCTCATTTGGAGTATTTTCTTGGTCATAATTTGGCAGTGGTTATCAGAGAAAAGTGAAGATGAGGTGAAGGGAGAAGGAACTGGAGATGGAGATGGGATGGGATGGAGGTGGGGTGGAGGTGGAGATAATCTGGGAATTGGAGACTGGATGGAGGTGGAGTTGGGGTGGAGATGGAGGTGGAGAGTCTCGGAGATGGAGGTTGAAGATGGAGATGGGGTGGAGATAATCTGAGAATTGGAGATTGGATGGAGGTGGAGTGGAGATGGAGGTTGAGATGGAGATGGGGAGGAGATAATCTGAGAATTGGAGATTGGATGGAGGTGGAGTGGAGATGGAGGTTGAGATGGAGATGGGGTGGAGATAATCTGGGATTGGAGACTGGATGGAGGTAGAGTTGGAGTGGAGATGGAGGTGGAGAGTCTCGGAGATGGAGGTTGAGATGGAGATGGGTGGAGATAATCTGGGAATTGGAGATTGGATGGAGGTGGAGTGGAGATGGAGGTTGAGATGGAGATGGGATGGAGATAATCTGGGAATTGGAGACTGGATGGAGGTAGAGTGGGAGTGGAGATGTGGTGGAGAGTCTCGGAGATGAGGTTGAGATGGAGATGGGGTGGAGATAATCTGGGAATTGGAGATGATGGAGGTGGGAGTGGAGATGAGGTTGAGATGGAGATGGGGTGGAGATAATCTGGGAATTGGAGACTGGATGGAGGTAGAGTTGGAGTGGAGATGGAGGTGGAGATCTCGGAGATGGAGGTTAGATGGAGATGGGGTGGAGATAATCTGGGAATTGGAGATTGGATGGAAGTGGAGATGGAGGTGAAGATGGAGATGGTCTTGGAGAAGACGATGGAGAAGCAGGTAGATGAAACCCCTTGGACATCCTGAAAGCATTTCTCTCCTCTCTTGCCTTGGCTTTCCAGAGAACTGGGAAGGGGTTTTTCAGAGAGGCTCCCCCCTCCATTCCTTCTAGGGGCCAAGATCTCCCTTGCCTGCATCTCTTCCTCCTGCCTCCCTCCCAAGGCGATTCTCGTCCCATCAGAGCTTCAATGGCACAGGTGGTGGCTACAAAACCATCTCGGCCTTTCTGACCCCACTGAGGCTGCCCAGCAAATGCCCCCCTCCCCCCTCCCCAGCCCCCCACCCCAGCCCCACCCCAGAAACCCCTGTTACCTACAGGATGCTTGACCGAATAGTTCATGATGATGTAGTCGCTGCCCATCGGTAGCCAGGAACGCAGCGTGATGACATCTCGGTTCTTCAAAGGTTTGGGACACTTCCCTGCCAGAGTGGGGAGAAGAGAAGGGGGCTCAGATGAGTTGGGGGGGGCTCCAAACAGCTGGACAACCTCAGCAGCTGATTTCTGCTTCAGATGGGAAGGCGCTTCCGGGCAGCCAAAGATCCAGGGTGGGATTTGAATGATTCCACCAGCCTTGAGAGACTTTAGAAGGGAGGCGCCTGGGGATCAGGACTCTGGTTGAGCCAAGCCTAAATGCTCTCGGTCATTTGAGCCAGGCTAAATCCCGCACCGTCACAGAAATTAACCCAGCATAAATAAACACCTGAGATAATTTCTACTATGGGGTCCTTGGTGGTCCCTGAGGTTGGTGGCTTTCTTGCAGACGTCTATTGACCCAGCTAGGGAACATCATCAGTGCTAGAAGGGATGGGCATTGCAGGCAGGAGGACTGTGTGGTTGTTGGTGCTCTCTGAGCTTGGTAGTTTTCTTGCAGACGTCTCCTTACCAAACTAGGTAACGTCATCAGTGCTAGAAGGGAGTGGGGAGGGGGGGTGTTCTTGGTGGTTCCTCGATGAGGCCGTTCTTTACGGTTTGATTGTTGGTCTGAGTTGGTTGTTCCTTGATCAGGGTAACACTGATCAGGCAAGCCGTCTGTATGTAAACAGAGGACAAACCTTACTCCCTTCTAGCACTGATGATGTTCCCTAGCTGGGTCACGAAACGTCTATGGAAGGTTACCTACATTTGATGACGAAGCTTGCTGCTCTAAGTATCAAATCCAGAACTATAACTGGGCACTCCGGGGTGAGTCCCCACAGCTCAGCCTCCCTCTGGGGCTTATCTGGTCCCACCTCCCCCTCCCCCCCCCCCGTCCACCCGAGTTTCTCACAGGCGTAGTATCCGACATCTGCGTTGACGGTCAGCTTGCCGATGTCGAAGGTCTCGATGACGTTGGTGTCCCACTTTTTCCTGTACTCGATGTCGTGCAGCACGTCGTACAGCGTTTCCACGGAGATGTCTTTGCAATCCATCCTGCACTGGAGAGAAACCTCTGTAGGTTTACGCGGGAGTAAGCCCTGCTACGTTCCATAGGACAGCTTTCCATTTATGGTTAGTCCTCGACTTATGACCACAATTTGGGAGGTCAAAATTCCCATCGCTAAGTGAGACATTGGCTTTGTCCCATTTTACGACCTTTCTTGCCCACTGTCCTCGAGTTACGACCACAACTGAGCCCAGAATTTTTTTGCTAAGTGAAATAATACGACCACAAAAATTCTGTTGAGAAGCAAGGCACTTCTTAAGTGAGTTTGCCCCATTGTACGACCTTCCTTGCCACAGTTGTTAAGTAAATCATTGCGGTTGTTAAGTGAGTCACATGGTCGTTAAATGAATCTGCCTTCCCTGTTGACTTTGCTCTTCAGAAGGTCGCAAAAGGGGATTACGTGACTCTGGGACACCCCGATTGTCATAAATATTCAGGCTAAGCGCCTGAATTTTGATCATTGGCTCTGGGGATGCTACAACGGTCCCAAGTGTGAAAAATGGTCATAATTTTTTTTCAGTGCCGTTGTAATTTGAATGGTCACTAAATGGACTGTTGTAAGTTGAGGACTACCTATACTGCCCCAAAGTGCCTTACTCCGAATCCAGAAAGACAATTGCTGCCATTTGGATTCGGCCCACCGGTCGAGCGAGTGTCTAGCCAAATCTCCTTTTTCTCACAGGCCAAACCATTAGGATTAACGATGCGCTTTTAAGCTAATGACTCATTAAAATAATGAAAGGAAACCTCTGTCCCAGAAATGCGGCTGAAGAGCCTCCCATCAAAGACGCCACTGGAGGAAAAGGATATGCAAATTCAGAGATGTTTTTCGTGTTAAAAATAGTTTAGGAAGATATGCATTATTTATATATTTTTTTTATTTATTCCTTTAGAAACGGCTCTTCTCTCGCGCGGACCGTGGAAGCAGGCATACAAACGTAACAGCTATATATAAATATTGTAATAGGAGGCAGTTACAAGCAGGAATAAAACAATAGGATTTTAGTAGTGATCAAATAATAGCATTATTAATTCTTCCCCCTATGGGGCAGCCCTCTGTCGAGAAGAAAGCCCCCTGAATTCAGAGGAATTTACTGCTGGATAAAAGGAGTATAAAATTTCAAAATTTTTATCATTATCTATACAGGTAGTCCTCGACTTATGACCACAATACAGCCCAAAACTTCTGTTGCGAAGGGAAACATTTGTTAAGTGAGCTTTGCTCCATTTTACGACCTTTCTTGCTGCAGCTGTTAAGTGAATCACTGCAGTTGTTAAGTGAGTCACACGGTCGTTAAGCAGATCTGGCTTCTCCCATTGACTTTGCTTGTCAGAAGGTCGCAAAAGGGGATCATGTGACTTCCGAGATACTACAACCGTCATAAGTACGAACGAGTTGCCAAGCGTCTGAATTGTCATCACGTGATCAGGGGGATGCAGCCACCGTCATGAGTGTGAAAAAATGGTCATAAGTCACTTTTTTCAGGGATGTTGTAACTTCAAATAGTCACTAAATGAACTGTTGTAAGTCGAGGACTGCCTGTACAGATAACTACCGGAATATAAACTACAGGATTTATGACCCTGCGTTTAGTGACGGTTTGGAGTTACAAAGGCATTGAAAAAAGGGACTTATGACAGAGTCCTCAGTCTTATGACCGTCACAGCATCCTCATGGTCACATGATCAAAAGGTCTTTCCCACATCCCCAGTTTACAGGTCTAAAAACTAGCCCTGGAAGGAAACCTTTAGATGTCCAGGCTGAGCCTGAGGGACGGAGGCGTCAAATACGTCATCGGTCTCGAGTCCTTCTCCACTCACGGGAGATCTAAGTCGAGCCCACCTTGAATTCTGTTGACTCTTATCTACGGCGATTCTCAGTCTTCCAGGTCATGGTTGTCCCAAAGGTGCTTTTACAAGAGACAACTGGACTGGGTTTTTTTGTTTTTTTTTTTGAAGAGGTTTCGCTTCTTATCCAAGAAGCTTCTTCAGTTCTGTTGACTCTTATCTACAGTCAATTTGCTTTGACTGTTAGTAGTTCAGATTTTTGTAGAGAGTTTAAGCTTGCAATAAATCTTTACACCCATTTGAACTGCCTGGACTTCCTTGTCCCCTTTTACAACCTTTCTTGCCACAGTTGTTAAGGGGAAGCTTTGTAATTGTTCTTGACTTGCTGTAGCATCTTGAGCTATGTTTCTAGACCTCAAGAAAAGGGGTGGACTTCAACTCCCAGAATTCCCTAGCCAGCTTCAATTCTGACTTCAATTCTGGGAGATGAAGTCCACCCATCTTCAACTTCTTGAGGTCCAGAAACACAGATTTAGATTCTTGTTTTGTTCCTGAAATCTGCACAGCGCTTATTCTACGGATTGTCCAAAGCTCCACCACACTCACACACACACGTGTGCGTTTGTGCATGTGGGCAGGCATGCACAGGTCCCTTGTGCCACCAGCAAACTGTCACGTGTCTGTCCTGCTTTCCCAGCCAAAAGGGGCCTCAGGTTTCGCTTTCTATACTCTCTCATTATTAATCAAGTTACAATTTACGCCGGCTGGCAAGCCGAGCCACTAAATATTTCATCGGCCCCCATGAAATCATGCCTCTCCTGCCACCCGGCCAGCCGACCAGCGCCTGCCGGACAAAAGCAGAGGGGTCTCTGCCCCCCGCAAAGGTCGGGACCCTGCAACCTGAGAGTCACCGACAGCTGTGAGCATCCTCTGCGGAGCTTCAGATGGGGTGGAAGGCGAAGGAGGCCTTTTGTCCGGGGCCACGTTGCATAACTCTGCTGGTTTCAAAGGCTGATTTTTCCATCTTGGGTGGATGAGGCCAGAGAGGACTCCTTGCAAAGGATAGCAGCAGTCCAGGATTTTGGCTGCCCCACAGAAGAGGAGGGGGCTCCACCTCTTCTCCAAAGCACCTGAAGGCAGGAGAAGAAGCAACGGATGGAAACTCATCAAGGAGAGAAGCAACCTGGAATTAAGGAGGAATTTCCTGACACTGAGGACAATTAACCAGTGGAACTGCTTGCCACCAGAAGTTATGGTTACTCCAACACTGGAGGCTTTTAAGACGAGACTGGACAGCCATTTGTCTGAAATGGTATAAGGTCTCCTGCTTGGATTATAGGGGTTGGAGTAGAAGACCTCCAAGGTTCCCTCCAACTCTATTGTTATTAAGATTAAGTGCGCTGGCATAGTGCAGTGCTGCAGGCTATTTCTGCTGACTGCCGGCTACCAGCAGTTTGGCAGTTCGATTCTGACCGGCTCAAGGTTGACTCAGCCTTCCAGCCTTCCGAGGTGGGTATAATGAAGACCCAGATGGTTGGGGGCAAAAGGCTGACTCTGTAAACCGCTTAGAGAGGGCTGTAAAGCACTGTATATAAGTCGAAGTGCTATTACTCTCCTCCTGCTCCCTCCTTCCAGCACTGATGATGTTCCCTAGTTGGGTCGTGAAACGTCTGCCAGAAAACAACCAAGTTCAGGGAGCTCCAAGAACTCCACAGTGTTCTTCTTCCTCCTCCTCCTCTCCACAAACCCCCCCCTCCCTTCCAGCACTGATGATGTTCCCTAGTTGGGTCGTGAAACATCTGCCAGAAACCCACTCAGCTCAGAGAGCACCAAGGAGCCCCTCACGCCCACATCAGTCTATCCCAAATCCTCAGGAAGGAGTCAGCAGGCCAACAAAAGGGCCAAATCCATCTGTCTGACTAATCCGATCAACCTTAACAATTAATTTATTCAACGCATATGTCAGCCGACCCCCAGCGACTGCGAGTGCGAAGGAACGGCAAAGCGGCAAGGACTCCGACATCAGCCGAATGACAGAGTGAGAACAGAGATGCAAAAATAAGTAAAGCGAGAGGAATGTTGGATCCCAATTATGCAGCCTTTGAGGCCGTTGATGGTTTTTCAGTTTATATATCCTGTTATTCTCATTCCCTCGATTTCTTTCTTGGCTTTTACCCTCCTTCCTGCGGGTTTTCAAGTTTGCAGAAGAGCCACGATTCGTTAAAAATAGTCCGCGACATCATTGGGGAGCTGGGACTTAAATTTTGTTTTTATATTTTTTTTAATCTCCTGGAATTTCTTCTACCAGCCCCTCCTGGCAACCGGCAGTCTAAAATAAAAGTCCAGCCTCCATGACCGAGGCTCTAAATGTCTGCACTTCGGAGGTTTTTAAATATATTTATGCATTCGGCACACCCCCATCAATATGCATAGCCGTGCAGGAAGTTCTCCACTTACGACCGTTTGGCTCAGTGCCCATTTAAAGCTACAGTGGAATTGAAAAAAAGTGGGTTACAGGTCGTCCTCCACTTACGACTGTTCACGTACTGACCATTTGACCTTAAAACAGCACTAACGAGTGACTTGCAGGCAGTCCTCGACTTACGACCATCCACTTACTAACCATTTGGAGTTATAAGACATAGAAAAAAATGATTTTCAGGTAGTGCTCAACTTACACCATTCATTTAGTGACCGTTCACAGTTGGGTACTGGGTGACTTTGGGCCAATCGCCAGGAGATAGTGAGTTCTAGTTTCACCTTAGACATGAAAATCAGCTGGGAGACTTTGGGCCAATCTCTCCCTCAACCGGTCCTGTCTAACCACCTCACAGGGTTGTTGTTTGCGGGCAAAATAGAAAGAGAGAATATGAAGTATGTTCCCCACCTTGAATTATCTACACTAATAATAAACGTGGGATACAAGTAAGCAAATAAATATAAATTCTCCCTTGCGTGGATTCCCTGCCACATGTGTGGGCCACTCCCAGACCCTCCTTCTGTGTCCTGGCCCCCCCACCCCACCTGGGTTTCTGGGGGTCCCTCCAAGGACTCCCCTCCAGACCAAAGTAGATCGCTTGGTCAGATTTGAACCCGGGCTGGGCTTCTCCTTTCCAATGAGGCCACCGAGCGAGTGGATGACATTTTCATGGATTTCTCGCAGATGCTTCGAACTCCCTTTCGCCAACCAGGAACTGCGCCAGA